GGGGGGGGAGTACCCCGAGAAAACCCACTTTCACTGGTCAGGCGCCGAATAACTGATGAAGAACTGTTACTTTATCTATATACACTTACCTTTGATGAAGAACTGTTACTTTATCTATATATACTTACCTTTGATGAAGAACTGTTACTTTATTTATATATACTTACCTTTGATGAAGAACTGTGACTTTAACTATGTATACTTACATTTGATGAAGAACTGTGACTTTAACTATGTATACTTACATTTGATGAAGAACTGTTACTTTATCTATATATACTTACCTTTGATGAGGAACTGTTACTTTATCTATATATACTTACCTTTGATGAGGAACTGTTACTTTATTTATATATACTTACCTTTGATGAAGAACTGTTACTTTATTTATATATACTTACCTTTGATGAGGAACTGTTACTTTAGTTATATATACTTACCTTTGATGAAGAACTGTTACTTTAGTTATATATACTTACCTTTGATGAAGAACTGTTACTTTATCTATATATACTTACCTTTGATGAAGAACTGTTAATTTAAATATATATACTTACCTTTGATGAAGAACTGTTACTTTATCTATATATACTTACCTTTGATGAAGAACTGTTACTTTATCTATATATACTTACCTTTGATGAAGAACTGTTACTTTATCTATATATACTTACCTTTGATGAGGAACTGTTACTTTATCTATGTATACTTACCTTTGATGAGGAACTGTTACTTTATCTATGTATACTTACCTTTGATGAAGAACTGTTACTTTATCTATATATACTTACCTTTGATGAAGAACTGTTACTTTATCTATATATACTTACCTTTGATGAAGAACTGTTAATTTAAATATATATACTTACATTTGATGAGGAACTGTTCATTACCCTTGATTTTTAAACCTTCCCTTAGCGTATACTAGGTTAGTATAGAATGTTTTTGTTCTTTTTACATTTCTACTTTAGAAGAGGCCTCGTTCGAAGGGAAGAAGACGAAGAACCCGTATGTGGAATTCGATCAACGTTCATCTCACCGAAAGCCGCGCTCAGTGACAAGTCAGAGTGGAAATTCATCGTTAATGTGGCGGAGCGTGATTCTCGTTTTAGGCAGGTCGTCAGGGTCGACATTTGCAGGTATGAATATCCGCTAATAATCAGTAAAACTCTAACTGTAAAAGTTTTAGGCAGTCGTCAGGGTCGACATTTGCAGGTATGAATATCCGCTAATAATCAGTAAAACTCTAACTGTAAAGGTTTTAGGCAAGTCGTCAGGGTCGACATTTGCAGGTATGAATATCCACTAATAATCAGTAAAACTCTAACTGTAAAGGTTTTAGGCAGGTCGTCAGGGTCGATATTTGCAGGTGTGAATATCCACTAATAATCAGTAAAACTCTAACTGTAAAGGTTTTAGGCAAGTCGTCAGGGTCGACATTTGCAGGTATGAATATCCACTAATAATCAGTAAAACTCTAACTGTAAATAACGCGTTCGGTAAATTTGTTATATTTCTGTATTGTTATCTTTTATCCTGAAGTTCGTACAGTTATTTTATTGGTATTCTTAAACACCAGCTGCATTAACTTGGTCCAAAACAGGAGCATATCACTAATATCATGATGTGATTGTTGATATCAGTAAGCCAATATCATCATGTTGTGACTGTTAAAAATAGTCAATATCATAATATTTTGACTGTTACAAATATTCAATATCATAATGTTGTAACTGTTAAAAATAGTCAATATCATCATGTTGTGACTGTTAAAAATAGCCAATATCATCACGTTGTGACTGTTAAAAATATCCAATATCATCACATTGTGACTTAAAAATAGCCAATATCATAATGTTGTGATTGTTAAAAATAGTCAATATCATCATCTTGTGACTGTTAAAAATAGTCAATATCATAATGTTGTAACTGTTAAAAATAGTCAATATCATAATGTTGTAACTGTTAAAAATAGTCAATATCATAATGTTGTGACTGTTAAAAATATTCAATATCATAATGTTGTGACTGTTAAAAATAGTTAATATCATCACGTTGTGACTGTTAAAAATAGCCAATATCATAATGTTGTGACTGTTAAAAATAGTCAATATCATCACGTTGTGACTGTTAAAAATAGTCAATATCATAATCGTTGTGACCGTTAAAAATAGTCAGTATCATAGGGTTGTGTCTGTTAAAAATCGTCAATGTGTATTACAGCCTCAACTTAGAAAAACGTTTCTGAAAACAATCCGTTCTTCAAACAGTTCTTATGATCCAATTTACCTTAAACAAGTTAAACACTACATTACTTTCTCTCGTGCTGCCATCTTTTCGTGTATCAAGTTAAGACTGATCTTCTGGATACATCAGTATCCTTTGCGTTTTTTATATATACATACGCAGATCTTTAACTAATGGTATTAAATTACATTAGTTAAAGATCATATAAATTACATTAGTTAAAGATCGTATTAAATTACATTAGTTAAATATCATATTAAATTACATTAGTTAAAGATCATATAAAATTCCATTAGTTAAAGATCGTATTAAATTACATTAGTTAAAGATCGTATTAAATTACATTAGTTAAAGATCGTATTAAATTACATTGGTTAAAGATCCTATTAAATTTGTAGTTTTGTGTTACAGCTCCCCTGATGAAAGTTGCTCCAGCCAGATCAGCTTGCCCTTTGGTTACACCAGTCGCTGCAAACAGAAATTCATCAAGAAGAAACTTCTGTCTCTTGATGCTGACGGACAAGGAACGTCTGAAGAAAACTTTTTTGTTCCATCTTGCTGTGTTTGTAAAATTTCCAGAAATAATGAGAAGTAAGACTTCTGATGTATTGTTGATTTCCCGGATGAAGTGTCCCCCAGTGTTCCTATGGGCAGGGACTAGTCATTGCCTTACAGTATTGTCTGAAATGAGAGATACCTAACTATATAATTTCCTTCACGAAGCAAGTGTCTTCCCCCCTCCCTTCCGAAAAAATACACATCCCTTAAATACGGACTTTGTTATTTCGAGGACAAACCAAGAATCCTTCTTGTTTCTTAATCTCTAGCTTGCCATGAAAGAATATCATACAAACCAATAACTTATCAATAACGTTTGACAAACACGCTTAGTATCTGGGATTTTCTTCTTTACTAAATCTATAGCCACCCCCATCCCATTGGTTTGTGTTTAACAAAACTAAACATATCACTGGCTCTCCTTTCTCCTTGTTAACTTACTTTCTGTCACCAGATCTTTCACAATTCCAGCTACTATCCTTATTTCTTCTTATATTCCACTTCGTATCTTGTATATTATCTTCGCTGATCGGTTCCTAGAACAACTCTACTACGCATAGGGGTGAAACAAATGGTATAGCTAAGCCTTTAAACTCATAATAGCAACCCATCCACCTAGGAAGAGGATTGCTTCCACGTAAAATCTAGGATGTAAATGGAAGTTTCGAGAAATTGATAAAGGTATAGTTGTAAGAGAGCAAGTAACAGTTGTACAACAATCATACTTTATTTGTCAACGCACATGCAGTACGTATTAAATACATTTCTTCCCTAATGTTCGGAGTAAAGTCTTAAAAAACAAACTTTTATCGTCTAAATTCTTCTCAGGAAGAATTTCCAGTTAATTAGCTTTATCTAATTAACTATTTTTCTTCGTGAATAGTCTATAGAATTACGATTTGACGCGACCTCTGTTGGCAAAAACGATACTTTTGGCATCAGTAGATGACTAGAAGTGTTTTGTTTTTTTAGTAATTTTTTTATAGTGTTTGGGATTACAAAGTCTGTACAGCCGCCATTTTTGGACAGACATGAAACATTCATGATTAAGACTTTATTCTCCTGAAGAAGAGTAGTCAACTATTTGTTCTCCTGAAGAAGAATAGTCACCTATTTGTTCTCCTGAAGAAGTATAGTCAATCATTTATTTTCCTGAAGAAGTATAGTCAAGTATTTGTTCTCTTGAAGAAGAATAGTCAACCGTTTATTCTCCTGAAGAAGAATAGTCAACTATTTGTTCTCCTGAAAAAGAATAGTCAACTATTTGTTCTCCTGAAAAAGAATAGTCAACCGTTTATTCTCCTGAAGAAGAATAGTCAACTATTTGTTCTCCTGAAAAAGAATAGTCAACCGTTTATTCTCCTGAAGAAGAATAGTCAAGTATTTGTTCTCCTGAAGAAGAATAGTCAACGATTTGTTCTCCTGAAGAAGAATAGTCAACCGTTTATTCTCCTGAAGAAGTATAGTCAACCGTTTATTCTCCTGAAGAAGAATAGTCAACTATTTGTTCTCCTGAAAAAGAATAGTCAACCGTTTATTCTCCTGAAGAAGAATAGTCAAGTATTTGTTCTCCTGAAAAAGAATAGTCAACCGTTTATT